CACCGTTTTGCAGTTGAATTATAGGATTAAACAACGTATGTGTCTTTTATGACAGGTGGCTTGAATTTCGACGAAGGCACAATGGGTGGTATTCATAATAATGAAAAGCACATGTGAATACGCTGTGAATTGCACGGGTTCAAATAAGAAAGATTGTAATCAAGGGGTTATCTTACAAAACAAATTTTACCATATTTCCATCTGATAATAGGAGGCAAGAGAGCGGAGGTTGCAACACGATATTGCAGACAGTCATTCCATTGCACTTCACTACGAGGATTTTTTGAAGTTTAAAGCCTAGGACAAAGAAAACTCACTGATCCTCAACGTGCCGGATGACTACTCTGTGGCTGAGTCAGAAAAAAATACTACTCCACGCTTTTCTAAGTCACTCAGCTTTGGAAATTGTATTTCCAAACTTTTAGTCATTGAATTAAAAGCGCGGGTAAAGTGGCACAATTAAACAACTTCAGTAGTGATTGCTGTCGGTACCATTTAAGCTAATTGAAAACCCGTGCCAAGTTCTGTCGAAAAAACGTCACAATGGCCAGCAACCCAATTATGTTTTAGTACGATTTTCTTCAGCCTCACATTTGTCAAGCAAGGAGCACTTTTTAAAAGATGTTTAGACAAGGAGTAAAACTTAGAATCGTCAAAGTCACATTAAAGCATTTGTTCAAACAGAACAGTCCAGGTTTATACCACAAAGAACAACATGTACCGTTTACTTTGGAGGCCAATTTACTTCTCTTACGCTTTACGTAATTATTTTGGTGGTTCAGCAAGTTGGGAAATGTTGCGCGACATCAGCAATTCACCTTGGATGCAGATCATGTTGATCCCTCTGTTAAGTGATTACCAATAAGTGAAAAAATGTGTCCATCGTAAAAAAAGTAAAGAAGGGAACTCAACCCCTGATGCATCGCCAGAGGCTCCACAGCTGTTTATCAACCAGGTTCACAGAAGAAGAAAATACTCATTGCTTCTGATACTGTTGGTTCACCTACTACCAGCGAATGGTCTATAAGTGGAGCTCATTGACGGGTGGTTTCCAACATCCTCAACAGTGTCCATCTTGTCAAGAAACATGAATCCGTACCGATCATGAGGCAAAACCTACAGAATCAATCCTGGACACCAGCCGATGGTGTGAACTGAAAATGTGCAACCAGAACAGGTTAACTCGGAATAGCCAGCCTCTCCATTCTAATTACACACTTTGACTCTACATGGCAAAATGTTAGTTGGAATGGAAAATATTTAGTACCGTGTCATAAAAATGATTTCATCTGCAGAATACCAATCCGACTACTAGATTTGCATACAACCAGTGATCCCTTGTTAGTGTTCTGTTACACTAGCTGAAAGATACGAAATTCTCTTGAGAGAAATATTTTTATTCAATCGGCTACCATATCAATATTTGCCCAAAGCGTCAAGATGATTCCCTATTTCTGCGTCCTCGGAACCAACTCATACTTTCTCAAGACACCAGCCCTGAAAAAGTTAGTTCATTAATAACTGAATGTGTTTCAGTTGCTTTAATTTATATTTCTACCTCAGGCCTATGAATGATGGGTTTATTTGATTAAACTAACACAAGGATGCACTAGAGCCTGCCACGCGTTCTCTGCTGACACTACTCAGTTTTCATTTAACCTGGTTTTTTCTATTCACACCATCAATTTTTTTGCCAGTGGCGTTTCTGAGGTAGTTACAAGTTACGTCGTCGTCAAATCCGATGACATAATCCATTTTCCAAAGTACGACGACAAATCGACACCTCAGAAATTTCTGTCTAGACGTACCACAATGCCGAGTGCGAAAATGTGATGCCGTTCGGGGTGACCAGGTTGATAATGAATGAGAAAAGACAGGTTAGACGTACCAAATGCCGAGTGCGAAAATGTGATGCCGTTCGGGGTGACCAGGTTGATAATGAATGAGAAAAGACAGGTTGTATTGATGTACTGAACATCACACAGTGGAGATTCATAAATTTCATTCGGAAACCATTGAAGTTCTTGATTTTTCACTGGAATAATAAAACGTGAAGAACTCACTTGACTGCTGGGCCACTCTCAAGCTGAGCGCAAATGCAACATGATAAGTGTATAAAACGTTCACATATCGCCTTAAAAATAGCAGTAAGACAAGACATTTGGACAAAATTAAGTTGCCGTCAGGGTAATGAAAAGTCAGGCTACATTTAAATTAGGGAGCTACTAGTGCAATATAAAGTTTCGATGGTAGTAATGGTAGAAAATATTTATCAATAATACTTGGGTGTTATTCACCCACGACAGTCACCGGTACTGAAAATAAGCGTTCGTAAAACCGCCCGACCTTCGACTGCGTCAGTTGCAACAATCTATCATTTTCTATTACACCAAGTCAAGTTGAACCCCCGAGGACAATGTCCTCACAAAACTCCGCCGTTTAATAAAAGCATTGCTGACAATCACTTAGGTTGTCGGCGATGATATAGTTCCTCCTTCAAGTAATCATCATAAACTGCCACGTTTACCATAAAATAAGGTGACTTTGCCTGCTTTTTGCCACATCACTTCGGATTTTGGAAATTCTGAGAACTGTCTACAAAACTTAAACACTCAATGCCAATATGTCAAATAATTTCCTCTGGAATGAAATGAAAACGTTGACAATGGATCGGTATGTCTTACGATCTCATCTTGGGTAATTAAGGCAGATGCAGCTAGATCCAAAAAGGTATTCCGATAAAAATCTTATCATGTTCTATGTGGATGACCTTGTTTAACCGCTTCTGGTAATTGATCCATGTCAGCAGATCTGCGTTATGCAACTGGCCCACCAGATTCTTATTTGAACTTCATCCTACCCCTTGGTTAGGTAGTGGTCTCCGAGACGTGTTAAATTTGCGACACATGTAAAGGAAATTTTCACCCTTTTAAAATTTATGTTCCTGTCCCGGAAACTATTCGAATATAGTAACTTTCCGGTTGTTGGTTCCCTGGGATTTCTGGTGGATGTGGTGTATGGTATATCTAAAGTCATGCTGACGCAAAGGTAATTTCATTGCTGATTCGTTCCTTCAGGACACAACTGCTTTTATTTCTTCCTGGAAGAGTTAGGACACAAAAGTAAATTATACATAAACGCGTATTTTGTTTACATAATCTACAATCTTTATTCACCTGGAGTGATCGTGTTTTTTTTTGTTCAATAATATCGGTGGTTGCTGAGGTGATTTCCAAATGTTAGGTCAAATTAAGCTCAACCAAACACCCCACCGAATTCCTGAACTAGGCTTTCATATTTGGTGAAATTTTTACCAGGATTTCTCGTTAACAGCGAAATACTAATATGGCCCCGGGGCTTACACACGCAATCGGTCGGACATTGGCCTACCAAGAAAAAAGCACGCCAATTCTGAGTGTATTCTTGCAAATGTATTGGGTATTGCAGTTAACATCCAGCACACTCAGATTAAAAAACGGTATAGTACGTAGACCAACTGCCTTTCGCTGCTTCGGATTCTCGATTGCACAGATTATGACAACCACTGCATCTGCTTGTTTCAACAAATGTGCAACCGTGTGGCCAACGTTTTATCTTATTGAACGTGCTAAAGTTCTTATTATTTTTAGAGAACTAGTAACCGAATAGCATTCGAGGTAACCGGTTGTGGCGTTATCGCTACTGCGACCGGTAAGCTGGCTGAAATCTTCAGTTCCCCCGTTTCTCACCCAATTTTGTTGCGTTATATTAGAAAACCCAATATGAACTAATGCAAAGGCAAATAATTTATCCGTAAACCTTAGAGTCTTGAGTAATTTTATATGGGTTTCACTGTAGAAGAAAAGTAGTTGCTTTGAGGTTACAGACCAGGAGAACCGGACTTACAGTACCAAACACCTAGCTATGTACAATAGGCCTAAGACTTCAAAATGTGAATCAGTTTGTGACATTCATAATGTTTGGATGGATATGTCCAGACTTCATAATGCAAATAATACTATCATATATCACGTCCTCCTTTTGATGCTACTTTCCAACGTACTGTATTTTCCCAGAAATCACTTGTACTAACATCTCTGTTGTGTTGATTTATGTTTATGTAATGTAAAAATCACAGCTCAAGTTTAAACCAACCAATCGCAAGAAATCTGTAGCTCATAACAGACATTGGGTTTTTCTGAGTTTCTGGTAAAAGCTCAAGTAACAAGCTAGTTTTAAACAACCAGCACCTTAACGGTAATATAAATAAACGAACCTGTTTGGAAAATTTGGTTGCTTGTTGTACAACCGTTAAAACAGAGGAATGGCATATTAGATTTACTGCAACGATAGCTTGACAGCGCATAATTTTGATTCTGCGTTACTTTTTTATTGAGAACAATTTACTTCTGTATACATTCGCAAAACATTTTGGTGTCATATGGTTGATAGCTGTTCAACATCCATTTACCCAGGGCAAGGCCACGCTAATTTCATCTCACTTCTAGATTATAGTACATCGTTTACTCATGTAAAATTAGGAACTGCATTATCCAAACATTTGTTCCTCGTTGAAGTGGGTTGAAAATGAATACTGTTTGATAGTCCAATTTGGAATAGTACATATTCAAATTGAATTTCACGCACGAAAACTCAACACAGTTCGCGAAGACTTGGAACCAGAGACAAACCGGTGTTGGAACAATGGGCAGTTTTTGACTTACGAGGGATTGGAAGAACACGACTCTGATATGCAATCTTGGGCTGCTTCTTGGCATAATATTTTAATTAACCTGTGATCACTTACGCTATGGCCGAATAGTTTCTAATTACATATATTGTTACGTCTATACAACCACGAACCCGGACGAACTATTGAAGAATATTAAACAGATAAGTAACTTGTTTCAGTTCAGTTCAACATTTAATCAGTTTTTCCCCCATTCTTACTTAATTTGCTAAATTTTAATCTATCACATCAGCTCAAGTTTTCTTTTTTTACTGTCTACTCCCCATTGAAGTGATCATCCCGGCTCTTTTTCAAACGGCCGCTGCATATGTCTGGGCAGCGCAGTCAAGGAAAGTTGCCAACATACGCATCCAGCCGATCCGAAACCCCAATGCACAGAAGCGTTCATCAAATAAGGATGGAAGAGATGAATGCGAAGTACCCGGTACCCTAACGGGTTTGGAGGCTCGTAAACTTTTGTCAAAACAAGATCGTACACTTTTTCTCTATCGAATCCTGGCATGCTCCGCCTCTCTGTTAGTTCTTGTTTTTTCAACCTTGCCACAATTAGTCTTTGTCGTGGCCAAACCAATATCCGACACAACCATTCATAGACAATGGGGTTGGTGTCATGCGATTGTTTATGCAGACCTCGTGAGTAGATGTTTTGCCACCTATCTTGTTGTGGTTCCGTTCGGTGTGGTGTTTTGGAATTTTATTTTCAGCGAAGTTGTACCACGGCGCCACTTACTGACGGACAATGTATTTCAAGTAATTCTTCAAGCAGCCATTCCAATCAGTGCATTTTCTACGCTGCTACCAATTCTGTTAATTGCCAAGCAGTATGTTCCAACCCCTGTCGAAAAACTGATTTTTTGTGGTTTGAATGAACCCTGGTACCTTGCTTTCATCTATTATGACTTCATAGTGACTAGAATTGTTCCATGTGTTTGCATAATGATCATTGCTGCTGGTTTCCTTCGTTGGCTGTCCCGTTCCGATTATGGGATCTTCTACGAACCTGGTCTATTCATCTTATTTTTGCTTCCACTGTGCTGCTGTGAGGTTGTCATTCACGTTTGCCAACATGCCGGTGTTTTGAAAGTCATTACTGAACCTATATTTAGTAGCATCTTGCTGGTATGCTATTCTATTTACCACATGTCATTCAGCTGCACTTTTGTCTTGGCCACAATGCGATCGGTGATCGGAGAAATTCGCGAGGAGATGCGCAGGCGACAATTCTTTTTCCTTGGAGAACACGAACTAGCAGAAGTTGTGGGCGAAGAAGAAAGTGGAATGCATGGTACTACGCGGCAAACGAGGCTAATTCAGGGCTTGCAGAAGCAATTTTCCGTTGCTTTCCGTTGGAAGCCTGATTTTACGGAAGAAGAAACGCGAACTGTTATCAACAACCCCACAGATTTTCTGGGCAATGACCATGAAGAACCAGGTCGCTGTCCACCTAGACAAGGTCCGGATAAAAGCAGCAGAATGAAGTCAGAACAAAATGTGAGCAGAGTTGATGACGCTATTTTACACTATGAGATTCTCCAACATTCGGCGCATTTAAAAAAAGCCAAGGTGTAAGAAGGACATCCTCTGTTTTGAACTCCCGGTGCCTAGAATACTGTCATACTCATTCTGGTGAAGAGGCAGTTTCTCAAGATAAGAGTTGATTCAAATCCTGCGGGCTAGCGGGTCTGTCCTTCGGAAAAAGACCCCAATGTTCTTGAAGTGGCCCAAAGTATCTTCGTTTACTTTCCCTTTAGAATCGTTCAGTTACAACACCAACATCCATGAAAACATTTTTGTTAAATTTTTACCTTCTCCATCCACTGAGCGGTTTTTTGTTTCTTTGTATTTTGTGCGTGTTTACTTTAGTGCAGTGTGAATAAAAGCTGGAGGCTTTGTTTTTCCTCGAAGCGACTTCATCAACGGAATCGTTGTGTTTTTTGTTTTATTCCGGTGCACTGAATGGTAATGAATTAGTGTATCGAATGTTCGACAAAACTTTGAACCGCATACTAAATGCCGGTTGCAAACAGTAAGCCAGGAGTCAGCACCATAAGTGATTCAGAGGTTTCATGAGCAACCTTATTATTGTACCCACGAAACTAATGTAAATGATAAATTGGCCTAGGCGAATAATCCGGGACATAAGAACTCACACTTCTTGTTTTATCAAGTAGTTGATCCACCTATGCGCAGTGGTAGTTGGGTTCGCTGCCAACACTGTATTACACTAATTACTATGCGAAGTTTTGTGAAGTGGCAAAGATAACCATTTCATGGACTTCAGTTCCAAGTTTTGGACGAGTTTGCTTCACTTAGGAAAGGTGATGCTGGGTGAAAACTCCAGTCAGTTGACAGTGTGTTGAATAGAGTTGAAGGATGCCCCATTGCGGTGAACTGCGATGACTAGAATATCACGTCCTGCGACCAGATGTCGCTTTTAGTCCCTGACACGTTTGGCAGAGTAAGGTTAATGTAAGCATGGTATTTGACTCACGTGCACACACGCAACTGATTACTCTGGGTTGACAGAGACTAAGGCGTATGTGAGACATTCCACTGATGCAAAGTTACATCCCGCTAAGTACCTGGGTAACACATGGACTTTTCCACATGGAAAACTTCTGTGCACTCAAATGTATTCCTTTTGTGTACAAAAAAGCAGAAACATTTTCTGCATTGTGTTAAACAGTTGTATGGATATTATTGCGGTGTTGTTGTAGTAATACTGTTATCTCTCGGGCCTTTTTCTGGTAGGAAAATCGTCTGATCAACTCAAGACATCCGTTTTGCTATCGTACAAAATCATTCCATGCATCATGTTCCCGAGATCACTGATCATTCGTTAAATCAACCCCGTCATGAACTCTTGCAGTAGAGGAGCCCATTAATCGTTCGATATTAGAAGTTAATAGCTGATTAGAGTATTATGCTCAGTTAAACGTTGTGATCTCTTTCATGATACGTCATATAATTTGTTCTGTAAAGCTACTAGTTCTTTGTTGCTGGTTGTCATGGACGGACAACTGTCATATCCGTAAGTTAAAGAATTTTCTGTTGACTAGGAACGCAGAATTTGGTAGTAGATTCACGAAGAGCCATTTCATCGATTTCGGAAACCATTTCGACAATCTAAATATGCACAGACGGCCCAGTCTTACAAATGAGTTTGAGTGTGAGTTAACTACGAAATGATTGTTATCGGTTGCGTTGACAATGTAGTGTTAGTGAGCCAGTACACATGAAGTGCGTTAGCTGACATGAAGCTGAACGTAGACCAGGGTAACTTGAAAATGAGTTAATAACCAATGCAAAACAGAATACTAATGCCTGTTTGGTCACATGGAAAGACTCTAAGTAACAGTACAGTCATTTACTTTTTGACGCACATCTGTCCAGATAGAGCGAGCCTCATTCCACACGTCAAATGGAACTTGTTACACAAAAACACACTATCGGACCTCATGGTTAGCTGAATAAAATTCGACTTTGTATGGTAAAAAGTGTTTCCGTATAACACAAACCTGTGTGCTGCTGTGGAAACACTTAATCAGATTCAGCTTGAATGCATAGGGTTAAGAAAATTGCCTCACTATTAAAGTCGTTCTCGGCCTCCACAATAATCCAGCTTTTAGCAGATGTGAAAAGGAACAGTGTGGACAAGTCACATGCTGACAGTTATGCAAATACGCATACAGTGTCACAGTGCCGCACTTTAATCCCGACGAGGCACTTTCAAGTTGACTTGACCCTTCATTTTGGAATGTCGTCCACGGACAACATGAATAAGATTCTCGATTTGGGAAGTTTTTGAGACAAGACATACACTTCGTTCTTCAGATTCATTTGGTAGGGCATGCCTTCTTCAATAGTTTATCACAAATCATCTCAATTTAAGACTACAGTGTGTTAGCTACATCAGAACGCTGATTCATTTTTTGGCAAATTCCCTAAAAGTGGCAGAACTGCTGGTATTTTAATCTCCTTGCTTTCTTTCTCAGCAAACTGTACCACTTTTGTTAAGGTTCGCTGGAAAACAACAGCGGATTTATTGATGAAGCACTACATGAGGGAACGTACCCTTTTATTTCATAGTGTCAGATACAATCAATATCGGCAGTGACGTCGTAAATTTATCCCCGTTGTTCGTAAACGAGTTTTCTGTCAAGAATCTGGAGATGTGCATTCATTCACCGTTGTTTGGCAACCACATTACCGTTTTTTGCCGAAGTAGATACTTGTACCCTGAAGACTGATACAACGTGGCATTCAACATCTCTGGGGAATTTACATTTAATTTATTTCAGAGGGTTAAAAACGTCGGGTTATGGCGTAACGTAAACGCTGATCACGCTACTCCGATGAATGAAAACGGTTTCGAAATTCAGTAGTTATCAATCCAATTGGTGAACTATCAGTGTCCAATTTTTCCGCTTAAAATTGCATTGGTGCTCATCAGAGCGAGCGTATTGGAATTATCCTCCCGTGTAGATATGTGAAGGCTCACTACTGGGACAAGTTGACACAAAGTTGATAACAGGTTCAAGGCTCAATTATCTAGTCTTCTAACGCAGCATAGACAGACCCTTTCAGCTTTATGCTCCATATCGACCATAGCTCTAAAACGACCAGTGCGAAATTACCACAGCACTACAGAGTAAAGGACTTTACACGCCTGTTGCCTCCTTATAACTGCAACTCTTGGTTTACCAAATATTTAATTTTGTCATCGATGAAATAAACCCTTAATTTGCATGATCCGAGGTTTTGAATAATGTTCTATATAGATTCCACAGACTTAGGGATATTTTAGGGGATTTTCTTGTGGCTTTTTTTAATTTTTAGTGTGTAAAGTTCCTCCGACTGTATGCTTCATTTAAAGGAGTGGAGCACGTTACTTATGGTCATTTGAATCATCCTACCCGAAATGTCAAGTTACGTTGACGTTATTCGCTGAAGTATTCTTTGTTTGTCAAACTATTTTACTGGTGATTTTGTTTAGAAAAAGGGAGCATTTTTGGACAGCCTTTCAGAATTCAGATGACAGGTATCAATTTCCATATCAGTGCACCTGACAGAGACGCTGTAGAAGCTGCGCTGATTTGCACAGCAGCAAGTGATTGGAGAAGGTAGAATTCCAACCGAATAGACCATAAGTAACTCAGTGGTTTTCGGTAACGTCACCCCAGAATGGATGAGAGCACTAATCAGCAATACATTGAAGTTATGATGCAGTGAAGCGTTCATCGCCAGAGATGTATCGTTTGTTTAAGAATCGGGGAAAAGCCCGCACATATAGCACTGGACGAAACTCAGGCCATTTGAATTTTTTAGTTCAGGAGATGAGAGGTTTCATTGTGGTGAACTTTTATCCAGAAACTAAAACGAGACCGAAACGTTTGTCTCCTTGGTCGATATGTCATGCTGTGAATGCGAAGAAATGGAGTACTACATGTACCTGCCGGGCACCTCACTTACTGACAGACTGTTTAGTTACTTGGCAGTGACAATGAACGTACTAACGATGGAAGTGTCAAGCATAATATAGCGGTTGGGCAAGAATATAACTTCCGCGAAGTTTATAGTTTATAGGGCTACATGGTCAACTTTGGGCAACAGTAAACGTAAGACTGATGTAGATACCTGCAATACTTCCAAGCAGATAGGCGTATATTATGCACTAAAATTGATGTAAGATGCTGTTAAATGATTCATGCTGAGAGGAAACGCGCACGTAGCCGAATGAGACACATCTTGATCTTGACGCAACCTTTTCTGACTTATGTTCAGGCTCTGAGTGTACCTAACATTTATTTGCATGCTTCTTTCTGTAAAATTACTGGTGGCGCCCCGCTGAAGCGTCGACATAGACCATGATGTTTTCCATTAAGTCGATGGCTGTCGACGATCAGTTACACTGGAGACGCGGAATAGTCATACTTGATTCCTGACAGAGCATCTTTCCGGCATGCCGAATTTGGTGGTGCACCTCCGCATTACTACAATTCTATGTGGATTTCGTGTTTTCAAGATATCAGTAAATTGTTTACTTGAGAAACGTTCGCAGATGGAATAGCACGATGCGCAAAAATATCATCCGCGGAATAAAAGCAACCCCCACGATTGTCCAATTGGTTTCTTGCACTAAAACTAATAAGCCATTTTAAAATTTGCCGAGAATCTTGATATTCTAGTTATGGAAGCCGAAATACATCCGTTATTCTCCCAATAGCAACAGTCTACTTCGAAATAGACTGACCATATGATAATGATATGTCAGGTTGCGGTTTGAAATATTGGTGTGACTTAAAATTTTGATGACGACAGGTTACTCGTATAAAGGTTAGAAAACCTAGATGGGTTTGAGTCAGTAAAACTTAACCTATGTGGTTTATATGGTCTTTTCGTTTAAGGTCCGTATATCAGATGGCCTGCGGTATGTAACCATAATAGCTGCATAAACGGAAAGAAGGAGCAAAGTCTAACCTATTCATTTTTACTGATTTGACGGTTCCTGTTAATCAGGTAGCTAGAATGTGAGCTCATCCTCGTAGCCCATGTGTTTAAAGGTCTCGGATCATAAGCTTCCCTTCTAGTAAATACTTCGGTGAGGTCCACGATGTTATTACGGGTTCACTGATATGAACGTGAAACACTATCTAGACTTGTGGATTAATTAAAGACTCTAGCTTTTAATCTAATTCGCGCATTTCATGCTAAACACGCCAGATGTGTTCTCTTTAGAGACTTTCTGGATGGCTGCTGAGTTACCAAGTCGATAATTATTTTGAAACAGTATCTGCAGAAGAAAATTCTTGGATTTATGATATGCTGTTCATGGAAAACATAATCGTTCACGAAATATCTCAGTTTAGTCTAGTGACATATGGTTCTGATAATGTTGCGTTCTATCTGCTGAAGGTGCATAATGAATTCGGGGTCACGGTTCACATG